TCTAACAGAGTATTTTAGTAGAAAAACAGAACTTAATTTTTGAATTCACAACCTGTCCCCAAGATAGGCTCATTCGCATTTTGCCGCAAGAATATGGGACATGAGACAACAGTGCTCCTTGTACATCCGTGCTTCCCACTCCAGGCACAACCTACACTCAGCTAAGTTACACCGGGTTTCTTGGTTCCTCATCATGGCTTGAAAAAAAGAATGTAGGCAGGGAGAGACAACAAAGCTAAATGTAAAACAGGAATGGATGTGAAGGCAGAAACTGAGACCCAAATACAAAAGTATGAAACTTCTCTGCCCACCTACATACAGAATGCATTTTCCTAGCACAGAAGTAACAGAAACCTAAACCTCTAATATCGAATCCAACCAGCAGAGAACAAAAATCAGGAAAATCCCATGTTAATGGGGGTTTCACAAGACTGAACCTGTCCCCTTGATCCATGCTGACTTCCCAACAAAGCCCACGGGTTGCCTGAGTTACACAAGCTGCGTTCTCAGCTGTCTAAACTAACCTTATTCTTTCCGGATAAAATATATCTTCAGTGCAGCAACCAGCGTGACTTACAGCGAAGTTCTGGCTGTATCCTAGCAGAGGCCTGCAGATTCAGACCCTGAAACAGGAGGTTAGTGCAAGTGCTGGAAAATGCGACACAGGGACATGACAGGGGCTCTACGCAGAGCCATCCTGGGTCTCTGCTCTGCACTCTCCACACAGAAGCAGAGGACAGGGACTCCTAGACTGTTTCTGCATATACCAACCTCAGGTTTGGCAGGCTTGTTAGCGCTTCTGGGTACACGCTGGCACAACTAGCTGTATCCCACCGACCTGCCTTCACCGCATCTCAGCTCTGCAGGGCCAGCACAGGACCCTGCCACCTGTAACCCGCAACCCAGATAACCTGTCCATGGGAGTTCCTACTTAAATTACAAAACGTGAGAACATTGACCCTGGAAAAGCAAGGACTAAAACCATGATCTCTTGTGGGAGACCTCGGCTGGTCCGAGGGACCAAAATACAAGTTTAACACTGACCCTGAACAGATACCCGTGTACCCTTGAAGAGACAGGAGAATCCTGAGAAGATCCGAGCAAACAAGATAAGGGGTGGCAAACATCCTGCCTTTTCCCAGAGCATGAACAGTGCGTGATCAACACTTGAATTGGCTGAATGGTGTGTGATGTGAGAGTGGATTGGGCAAAAGGAGAATGTTAGAATATATGCACAGATAAGCAACCAGGAAAAAGGATATAAAAGAGCACTTCTTGTAAAATAAAATGTACAATTGCTGCAACTTGATATTCAGTGTCGTGTCCGTCTCTACAACGACAATCTCTAGACACAACACTGCCTGAGAGTTAAATTCAGGAAGAGCTGCTCTGCTTCTGCTCCCTGCATCTGCAGTATCTGTAGTCTAATATTACAGAAGTATTAGATGTGAAATGTCCCTGGGAAGAGCAGACATGTGCCCGCTGCTAGAACGGAGGCTTGCAGGTTCACTCTAGATGGGTTTCTCTTCCACCTATCCCTGCCTAGAAGCCCTGTTTTCTTAGATGCCGATCGTGCAAATTCAACTTACAAAGCCTTAACCATTATTAACCACATCTTCTCAATAGTCTAAGTTTCAGGTGGATGTTTCTGATGCACAATCAAAGCAGAAAGTCACTCTTTCTCCTGGCTTTCCAGCAGCTTCACAGGGAATAACAGGACTGGGCTGACTCCAGTTCGTGGCATCCTAACTTCACAAAAGTAAATGCTATTTAGGTGGAGAAAGGTGACAAGTTTTAAACACTCACCGTTCAAAGAGCACCCCAGTTCTGCTACCCTTTTCACACACACAGAGTCACTATGACAGCAGGACTGATTAAACCCACAAAGAAGTCAGCACAATTTCCTCCTCTGTCTACCAGAGAATGGCAGACAAGAGAACACAAACCTGAAATGTAGCAATTTTCTTTCAGCATCTCTGCAACTGCAGCTGCCCCTTCTCCCTGCAGCCAGTTGTCGCTGAGGTCTAATGTGAGGATAGAGGTATCGACCATCAAGGAAAGAGCTAAAGCCTTGGCACCCTGCAACAACAACAACAAAAAAAACCAAAAACAAACAAAAACACACAAAAAAAAACCCCACAAAAAAAGCCAACAGGTCATTTACAGTTTCACTGGGTTCACAAAGCTCTTGTGAACGTTTTTGTTTCAGCTCCCCTTAGTCTGGCAGGGCGCAGGGGGATTTCCCATAGCCATCAGCAGAATTGTGCAAAAAGATTCTCCTTCCAAAATAATTTAAAGCTAGGCTGGAAAAGCAAACACTGAACGCGGTTTAAGATATTTAATTTCATTTATGTTACTAAGGAATTAACTTCTCCTTCCATAAAAAAATGATGAAAAATACTTCTGCTGCCAGTATTCATGACACAGAGGAAAAGGAAAAGGTTATGGACCGCTGTGCCTGATGATGTACCCCTCTGGACATCACTCCTACATGGCAGTCTGTGAGCACAGCCATAGCAAGCACCCCTTTAGTTTACTTACAGTTCCTCTGAATCCTGACCTCGACATTTAAGAAGCCTCTATTGCATTAGTATCCTGATCTCTGTCAGTGGGAATTCTTAATTTCAAAAACATTTACAATTAAACACAAGTATGGCAATGACCTTGTGATTACTCAACAGATACTGCAAACTCAAATTATTTTCTCCAGCCGTGGATATCAAATACAGGAAAATGGACTGGAAGGGACCCGAGAGAACTATTCCAGAAAAGATAAACTTAACAGAACAAAAGGGTTTATCACCAAAAATTACTATGAAAGACTGCACCCTTTTCATGGTCCAAACTACACATTTCCAAAATGCCACGCCCCATGAAAACAGCTTCCTTGGGTGGGACTACCTGACATGAACCAATGCGTGAACATACAAAAGGTTTATAAATTCTTTCTAAAAATATTAAGAAATGCAGAGTGCCCCGGGGGAGACAGCACACTCTCAGGAAAAATTCACAACCCAAGGGGGAAGAGGGGTAATAACCCACCTGCATGTCCCATCCTCCCACCTCCCACCCCACGTCTGGGGAAGGAGATGATTCACCTTCCTGAGCCCTGCAAAACAACCTGCTGCCAAATCCCCACCCCTCACTGAGCACCAAACCTCGTGTGGCGTAACACTGGCCCCTCACTGGTATCTGAACCGCCAGCGAGGCAGGCAGAAAAGGGTCCTCGACATGTTCTTGACATAAAAGTTGGGTTGCTCTGACGCCCAAAGGAGTTATAACATTTTCATTAGTGGGAAAGACAAAACTGACAGTCCCTAGGTTGGGGTGTTGCACTGGTTGCTGGTTCTGGCGAGGGACCGCAGCTAAGCGTGACAGCAGGGTGACGGGGGGGACAGCCCCGGCTGGCTGATGGGGTTTGCAGCCCCTCTGACACCCCAGGGCTCTGGGGTGGGTGTCCCTCACACAAGGCGATGGTGGTGGCGTCCCTCACCCGCGGGCCCAGGCCACGGTGCCGCAGGCTGAGCGCGGGGCCCGGACTGCGCCGCAGGAGGCCGGAGGCCG